GACCTCCAAACTGATGAATACACTGACGTCATTAGGCAATCATATGAACATGTTAAAGGATCAAAAGAGTAAGAGAGAGGGAGAGAGAAGGGGGACAGATTTTGAAAAATACTCTTACGAAATTCAACAATCTTGACTTGAATAAGTTTTTGTAGGTACATGTACATGTAGTACTAGTAATTTAATTATTGGTAATATATACATGTTCATGTGAATTGACATGTATGTAAAGAAGTCTTGTGACATATATGTACATGTACATGTATAAGGCATGTACATGAACATGTACATACAGTACCTTATATTATTGTTAGTATACATGTAAATGTACATGTACATATATGTACAGTAATACATGTGCATGTACATGTATGTGTAAATAATATAATGTAGTGACATGTAAGGTTTACATATAAATGTACATGTATAAGAATTAATAGTACATGTATGAAAAAGGAGAGATGGAGGTACATGTATAAATGCATGCATATTTAACCCTTTTATTCCTTTCAGGTCATTTCTAATACTAGAGGTTCATTTTCCGAAATATTCGACTCGTGAAATTCATCGTAACTACATTGACTGTGTGAGGTGGTTTGGTTGACTAGCATTTTCTAAAAGTTGTGAGAATAGTTTGATACTTTGGAGACCTCCCAGACCTGACGATAAACCACAACAGAAATCCTTTCAAGTTTTACAAAAGTAAGAGAGAGAGAGAGAGGGAGGGAGGGAAGGAGAGAGGGAGGGAGGGAGAGAGGGAGAGAAAGAAAGGGGAAGAGAGATGAGAGAGGGAAAGGGTTTTTGTAGTGGTAAACATCTGATGGGAGGTGTTTATCTGTTTTAAACAAAATAATTGTCATGACAAGTGTTTAATGTGGCTCAAGCAAATGTACACTTGTGGTATTTATAGTTGAATGGCTTCCATCTAGTGGTTTGGAAGCTAGCCTCATTCATATCATTAGCATCAAACAGAATTATTAAAATGTCGACATAATTAGGTTTGAGGTTCCAAACTGTGAGATATGGTATATTCGCTTTGCAATGGACAAGAAAATGAAAGTAAACAAGTTTAATAATTCACTAAAAATCAGCATGTATTTAATAGTATAATGTACTACACTGATTTAAAAAGCATTGCCAAATGTTAATGCTTTAATGTACAGCATCTATTATTACGTGTGCACTACTATGTGTTTCATATTACAAACAAAATGTTCATGTATCTTGAAAACATACGGTTTTTATTTAAATGTTTCCTGCAACGACAGCACTAAAAGCCGTGACAGCAATTGTTGCAGCAATCGGTTTAATAAGATATGAAACATCTCCTTCATTTTGAGGCATTCCAGTTACTAATTGTCCATCAGGATTAGCATGCGATTCCATATCTGATCTATAAACTGGGGCTGGTGTAAAAAGATTTTTCAGTCGTTCAAACTGGCCATTTGTAATATAAAGACAATGTATATACATCATCCCACCAAACCCCAGAACTGCAGTTTTAATGATGTACCGGTACATCAAATTATCTATTCTTGATGCTCCAGTGAATGAAACAGTGATGAGTATGAATGTAGCATTGATTATCATTATGCTGTAGTAGCTCAGTCTCATGACAGTGTAGTAGAGGTGATACTTCATTCTTTGATCATTAATTGGTGTAAATTCATTATAGAGCTCAGCAATTGAATAGACGAAGAAAGCCGCCAGTGGTATTGCTATTGATATTTTTAGTTTCCAGTCAATATTTGTAGCATATTGTTTGTAAATGTAATGAGACAGCCATACGTGTATCTCACATGATATTACGATCAGTAGGAAAGGAATCTTGTCATTAGAAGCTAATTGTCTCAATCTTTTTTTTATAATATCCCAAAGAAGTGAGATACTGATACATATTGCCAATATCCAAAGAACAACACAAACTAGATCTGAAACTTTTATTTCTCCAAAGCAGACTATATTTTCTGGCTCACATGTGTATAGAATTATGTCCACTTCTGGGAAAGCAGTTGCTATCATCCTGTAAATGACCAGAGAGAAGAGAACAGAGGGGAAATCTACTCTTGGAATGATGGCTTCCATGTTCTCGCTAGTCTTTAGATCAAAGCATACCTCTATGTCAATGCCTTAGGTATGTGTGAGTGTGACCCTTGGTGTGACCTAACTGTCTTTGGAGCAAAGTTCAGTTGGAATTGCATTCCATTGAATTTGCCATCACGTGAGGCAAAATGGCAGTTTCCTTGATGCATGGTTAGAATGATGGAATCACCAGCGAGCACCAGCGTATGGAGAACCATGACATGGTTGTAGGAAGGAAGAAGGGGCAGCATTTTAAGTTGGAAGTGTCTGTCTGTACGTAGCCCCGTCAATTTTGATACTTCATAAATCAATCTTCGCTAGTAAATAACTCTGTTTTGATGCTCTAATTTTTGCTAAAATTATGTTTCTAGTGACACAATTAGCACATAATTACAACAATATTCTCTTTCTGTTTAGTACCTGGCCCTTGGTAATCAGGTTGGTAAGATATACATATGGGACACTACACAGAATGATGTCATAAAGGGACGTCCATCAGTGATACTCTCTTCAGCTAAATGCTTCACTGCAGTGAGACAAGTCACCTTCAGCAACGACAGCAAGTAAACCAACACACACACACTCACACACACACACACACACACACTGGTTACCATAGACTATGCATCATAGACTACTAAAGAAGTAAATTTTATCAGTCAAAAATTTTGTAAATTTGTCTGGGGATGGATTTTTTCTTTCACATGGGTAGTACTGGTATGTGAGTTTTTAAAGCAACAAATAATAATTTAAACAAGAAATTAAGATTTTCAGACTGGTGAAAGTTATAGAACATTCATATGCTTAATATAAAGTATTCTGGTTGTATTATTCATGGAAACTTCATATTTTATTGTTTTTACTGTGTAGGACTGTCATTGGTGTGTGTGATAATGGAACTGTATGGAGGTGGGATGCTAAATCATAATAAAGAACCAATAATACACTCACACACAAACTTATTGTAATACACTGTACATCAGTATACTGTGTATACACCATTATTTTTCTAACAAACAATAATACATTTTAATTATCATTCACTGATGCTAAAAGTAATAGTGTCATGACTTGAACTGAAATTGAAAAATAAAAAGTTATTTTGGTTTCTTGGGTACTTTATACTGTACAGCGCAAAATTTTTGAGGGTTGTAAATTTTGCAAATTTGCCTTAAAATCTATTGAGTGGATTTAATTTTGATGAATTTGGTTTCTTGTGTACTTTGTACCATATACCGTATAGCGGGAAATTTTGGAGGGAATTAAATTTGATGAAATTGGCGTTTTGATAGCCATTCGCCAAAATTAAATCCGCCATTTTGAGCCATTATACGCATGCTCAATGCACGTGGCCACCAATTCGCTAAATTAAAATCCGCCAATCACCAAAATTTAGCAATTCGCCAAATTTTAGTCCCTCCAAAATTTCCCGCTATACGGTAGCGCAAAATTTTGAGGACTGTAAATTTTGCAAATTTGCCTAAAAATCTATTGAGTGGATTTAATTTTCCCAAATTTATACCATCTGCCGCCATCTTGTGCCCAAATAATTTGATTTTCGCCGAAGTAATTTTCACAAATCTTCTAAAAATTGCAAATCCATGAAATTTACAGCCCCAAAAATTTTGCACTACACGGTACATGTACATGGAGCTTGAGTGATAGCGGAGAGGTGTTATTAGCAGTGGGCGGAGTCAAAGGAATAATTAGAATATTAAGGTAACATTATTATGATACATTTAAATTATATTTGGATTTTATTTTATTTTTAGTACAGATACAATGCAGTGCATTATTGTAAGTATAATTTGTTTGTTGTTTGTTTATATTATTTGTTTGTTGTTGTTTAGACGTTTACAGGTCATGGTAATGCTGTGAATGAGTTACAGATTCATCCAAAAGACAATAACCTCCTACTATCAGCTGGTAAAGGTATATATACATGTACATGTACATCAATACACATGTGAATATGATACATACACATAATGTTAAAGGGAAAAGATTTTATTCATGTACATGAATATGTACAGACTAGCCTCTCTATATAATGGACACTTTTGTACAAGACAGTGTCTCTGTTATACAGAGGTGTCCTTTATGTGGAGGTTATTTTATACAGTAAGGAATGTAATTGGTACACTAGGTGCTGTCTGTTAAATGGAGGTGTACGCTATAGAGAGTGTCCATTAAGAGAGACTAAAACCCCATGCTAAGATA